AATCAAACACACCTGAACAAGCTAATCAATGTCTTCAGGATTACTAAGGCTATAGGCAGGTGAGTTTTTTTTTTCAGGGTTGGAGCTGAACTCTGCAGGACTGCGGCTCTCTAGAACCGAACTTGCCTACCCCTGACCTAAGCCATAAGCAACTGTGTTTACAAGGATACTTGCAGAGACATGCATTTTGACAGTTTCGCGCGTATGTGTCATTTCAGGCACAAATAGACGCGGAAGTGAACAGAATTTGGTCTCAGAGACAGCTCACCCAAAATATTTTTGCTACTACTCATGTCAATTATTAATTATAATCACACACTTGTATATTTTAAATGATTGATCAATATGTGAATCCGTTGGCCGGACTACGCATGACACGAGTTGGCACAGATTAAAAACTTTTTCAAACCATTCTCTGCTCTGCAATGTTTTGGTGGAGAAACCAAGTCTGACCACCAGATGTCGCTAATGCGCACTGTGTTAAAAGCTTCGAGTAATTAACCGTTTTTCGGCACAATTTCATGAAAGCCTCAAACGGTTCAGAAAGCCTCGATTTCCCATCACTAGAATTCAGTGTTCACGTGCATCTGAGTGGCTCTCACCGTGTCTACAATGGGCGCTGTGCAGCGCAACGCGACAAAATACAATAGAACCCATTATAATCAGTGATGCTGTCTACACTGGATGCGGCGCCACACAGCAAATCCCCGACAGTAAATCCCTCGTTCTTTTCATGACGTACTGACACAAAGTTCAAAGGATTTGTAACGGTCGCTTTGTCGCGTTTGTCGCGTCCAGTGTAGACAGCGCGGGGCAGCGCGACGTGACAGCTGCCGCGAAAACGATCAGTATAAATATAACAATCAGTATATAAAAAATCACGATATCGATGCAGAAACTAAATATCGTGCAGCCCTACTTAGAGGCTTTTGCATCTGAACTCTTCATATAAAACTATGATTGTATGTTATACAGTATGAGAAGAATATAGACTGGAAATTTTAAAAGCATATATATTCCCACAGGAGAAATATAATCAATTCAATAGATCTGGTTTATGTAATTAGTTCTATTAGGAAAATTTTTTATTGAAAATATTTATAATGACACTTGGCTAATAAGGCTATCCACATTAAAGTTCTGTATAAACAAGAAGAAACAAAATTAGTGAAGCATCATACACATGATCATAAAATATGTCAAATCTATTTTATTAGCTGGACTTTCCTGATGAGAGAAGACCAGTCAGGGAATGGTCAAGAATGAATTGATGGTGAAGTTCTTTTATGATGGAAGCAATCTTATGGAAACACCAGCATACGAGCAAGTCTTTTAATCAAAGTGTTCCCCTCTTTTCAGATTAACAGCCTGTAATCTCGCTGATCAACATTGTGAAATTGTGGCTTCAGCTCTACAATCATCAAACTCCCCACTGAGAGAGCTGGACCTGAGTAGAAACCACCTGCAGAATTCAGCAGTGAAACTGCTCTTCGATGGACTGAAAAGTCCAAACTGTCAACTCAACGTACTGAGGTTTGGCTTTCACTTTTATTTGTCCAATATGTTGATGTTCGAGTACAGTTCCATGTCTAGAATGTTTATGAAGAAAAATTAACTATAACACTTTTACAATAAGTGTCCCACTTTACCAGTATCACCTGAAATAATTTAAGGTTTAGACAGAAGAGAGCTTTCAATATTCTTCTTCTCAGCATTTAGTCTCTGTATTTGCACAAAAAGATATATATTGGCGAACCTCATTTTAACCTTGTTTTAACTCTCTTTCTGAAATGCTCAGGTTTCAGCGCTGTGGCTCCTTTAAGACTTGCCAATAATGGCCATTTTTATGCATTATCCATATTAAACCTGTTATCTGTCTGTTATTTACAGACAAATCATTATAAAATTGTTTACTTACACTTTGCAATGTAGCTGCTGTCAGATCAGGTACAGTTGGATGCTTCATCTTCCAATAAAATTTGCTTTGCCAACTCAGCATAACATTGTGCTTAGTTTACAACAAACATTCTGCAGCAAAATGCTCCAGACAAACATACAATCCACAATCCAGGAGGTCATTAAAAATAAACCATCCATTGTTGCAGTGCACATGACTTTATGGTGAAATTCTTTTATCAAGGAAGTCTTGCAGGAAACACCAGCACATCAGCATGCCTTTTAACCAAGGTTGTTCCTTTTTTCAGATTAACTGCCTGTAATCTCACTGATCGGCACTGTGAAATTGTGGCTTCAGCTCTACAATCATCAAACTCCCCACTGAGAGAGCTGGACCTGAGTAACAATCACCTGCAGGATTCAGGAGTGAAACTGCTCTCCGCTGGATTGAGGAGTCCAAACTGTCAACTCAACTTACTGAGGTTTGGCTTTCACACTGATTTGTCCAATATGTTAATTTTCAAACTAACTAAAACTAAAACTAAAATTTTGAAGTCACTGAAATAAGGCCATAAAACACATACAGATGTGTTTAAACATAAAACATTTGTTCACAAGACTTTTGAGAACTGGATCTTGTAGCCTAGAGTTTTTGCTTTAAAATTATGCGAAAATCATCTTGTTTACTCGCTCACAGAAACAATATATTGATTAAAATTTTCTAAGGCACTTTTTGTTTTGAAAGGGCATATGCGAGTAGGCGTGAATGATCATGAATATTAGTATGATTCACACCTGAGAAGACAAAGGCCCACATAATGAGCTGCATAATGAGCCTTTACAGTCAGGTACGTATGTGACTGAGAGGGAAGAGTTACAAGAAAGAATCTGAGGACAGAATAAATTTATATTTTTTTTGTTTGTAGATTATTTAAAATATATTTCACTATCACACAAAATAACTTCAGACTCACTTGCAAGTGCAGTTAAACAGTTTATTAGGAACAAACAAAGTTGAATTTTAAAGCTGAATTTTTAGCATCATTACTCCAGTCACATAATCCTTCAGAAATCATTCTAATATTCTGATTTACTGAAAGAAAAAAAAAATTATTATTATTATTACTACTATTATTATGTTGAAAACAGCTGAGTAGAATTTTTTCAGGTTTCTTTGACGAATAGAAAGTTCAGAAGGACAGCATCTTTTGTAACATTATAAATATCTTTATCATCACTTTTGTGCTAAATAAAAGTTGTAATTTCTATATATATACTGACTCAAGCTTTTGAATGGTATAGTGTATATTGTTACACTTGGAGTAAGACTAGAGTAATGATACTGAAAATTTAACTTTGATCACAGGAATAAATTACTTTTAAAAAAATATTCAAATAGAAAGCAGTAATTTTAAATAGTAAAAAATATTTCACAATATTACTGTTTTTGCTGTATTTTGGATCAAATAAATGCAGGCTTGGTGAGCAGAAGAGAATTCTTTACAAAAACATTAAAAATCTTACTGTTCAAAAACTTTTGACTGGTATTGTGTCATGTTGAAATATATAAATGAACATCACATACCTGGCATTTCTAAAGTGTATAATGTTTATGTGCTCTGAAGAAAAAAAAAACAATTGAAGAGACTCATGGGAGCGTGTGCCTCATTTGGTCTTAGCTGTGGTCCAGGTACCTGTGTGGGCAGGAATCTCAGAGCCTGTGGAACAGGTCAACATTAGTATCTTTTTTCCATTATAAACTACATTATTAACATTATTGTGATGGTCACTGATACTAGTACTAATTTATAGAAAAAAATAACACAATTACCACATAGCACATATTTTACCATACAGTAAATAAATAAAATTAAAGTAACATCTGTAAAATAGTGAATGCACACTTACTCTGTAAGATTCTGAATGAGGGTTGAAAACTGAACGAGCGTCCCCTTCCTGTGTGAGATGCAGGTGAAGGCAAGAGTGGTGTATTCACAGTCCTAAAAGAATGTTATAAACAATTGTTAGCATTTATTTTTCACAGTACCTTAGTATATGCACAGGCCTACTTGATGAGAAAACAGAATGCCGATAACAAAGAAACGAACGAGAATGCCCACGCCGCCAGACTTCCAAATCTCTGCCTAGTGTGGAAGACTGCCCAGCTAGGGCGAGAGAACAGAAGAGCCCGGCTAAAGTAGGCGGGGCTCGCCATCCCGAAGGCCAACTTCTGGAGGAGTGAATCTTGACCCCCAAAGGAGAGGGGAGATCAGAGGACTCGAGGCTATGGAATAGCATCCTGATCCACCACTTAGCATAAGCTTCTCTGGCCGGAGGCCTCGGCCTCAGCGCACCGCAGAGGAAACGTGTAAGAAGAGGGTACGAGTAAATACGGTCTAGTGTAGTAAGATTCACATCAAAAACCGAAATGATGTAATACATGCACTGCGCGCGAGCCATTCAGTCACACGAACAACATCAATCTCCTCAGAGAAAGAGGGCAGCAGCACTCACTCAGAGGGGGAAGAACCGCAGCAATAATATTACCATATAGGCATAATAAAAGTACAATTACTATACACTATACTGTGCACTTACTCAGTCCACTTTCAGCAAACTCAAAACTGAACTACATGCCCGTGCCTTTCTTGTGCAATTATGCCAGTGATGCAGCCACAGTCCTAAAAGAAAATTTAAACGGTTGTTATAGCAATTACCAGAAGATGCATAGCTGATAATAAATTGCATCACAGATAAGAATGGACATGCTTATATGTCATCGATGGGTCACTTATCAGTGATATTTACAGCTTACTTGATACATTTACACCTCAGACAATCGCAAACACCAATGACCAGGTATAACACATTCAAAACATTTACACCAGAGCAGATATTCACAAACAGAAGCTTAGTTATAGTCATAAACACAAGCATGCTTTGTATGTAGGCCTATTATACAATACAAAACCATTTTATATATGGGAAACTATAGTTATAAACATCTACATAGATTCGCGAACAGAGTGTATCACAGTAAAGTTTTGTCTAATCATTCTTACTATAACATTAGGCTATTAACATTATAACTCATATTACTTTTATATTGTATTGCTGTCTATTTTATAGAACATACAAGAAAAACATTCTGGCATCGTGAGACATTTAGATGCAGTGAATGAAACTTCATAATGTTTCACTTGATTATACATTTAGTCAGGAATTATAGTTTGGAAAAAGTCTAGGTAGTAAAATGTGTACAATTTATGTGACAACTAATGCAAGTAGGTTCATAAAAAAAAACTTACTCATGTAAATGTTCTCTCTGCTTGATCAAGCTGCCGCGTTCTTCTTTTTCTGAGGTAATCCAAAGCTTATTCCTTTCAGCGTGTATTCTTCCAGAAACTAACAGTAGCCGAGATGAACTTGAAGAAAAGTCTTGCTGCTTTGTTTGCTGTGATGTGGGCGTTTACATGCTGCGCGTCTCACGTGGACTATTGTAATATCAAAAGCGAAAGTAACACGTGGGTGTGATCTAATTAGAGATAATGAAGCCAGATGGGAAAGATTGGACATCGAGTTGGTTTCATATGGATTACTTTATCACAGAATATTTGTTTTCGATAAGACTTGCTTCGTTTAAAAGTAGACATGTCAAGCTTTCTATAGATAGATATCTCATGTCTTTGTGCTGAGTATTCGCTGAGTTTCAGTTCATTTTAGTGACGCGTTTCTAAATAAAGATCACGTAGACAAAGGTGGCAGACAGCGCACCCTGTTTGTTTTCTTTATTTTACAAAAGCACAAAGTTTTGTTGTTATTATGTGTGTATACAAACAAAAGTAGACCCTTTACAGATTCGATTGATGTACTGCTCTTATCTGTACGATCAAAACTGATGGAGTAATTTAAGTTCCTTTAGGGGCTTTCAAAAAAAATGCAACAAAAGTCGCCGGCACGTTTGTCGACCACAGAGGGTTAATAACTACTATTAATTTTTTATTTAATCATTTATAAGTGATATATAATTGTCCATGAAGGCTGGAAGTGAAAAACTCCTTATATTCAGGTGTGCAGAATTATTAGGCTTGTTTCCTTTTACAGATAAAATGAGCCAAAAAAGAGGTTTAACTCAGACTGAAAAGTCAAAAATTATTAAATCCCCATGTTAAATATTCAAAAATAATTACCGTATTGCCCCGAATATAAGACGACCCTGATTATAAGACGACCCCCCTTTTTCCAGATGTAACTTTTGGAAAAAGGCTTTTTAAAAACCAAATCTTGTTTTTTCTCAGTAAAACACATTTTGTCTTCAATTATTTTCATATTGCATATTTTTCCTATTTTAATTTTTGTTTTGAAAGTATGGTAAAAGCTGGTAAAATGTACCAACAATCACATTTAAAAAAGAAACACTTTTTGATATACCATTTGACATGTCAAAGTCTAGACCCTGAATATAAGACGACCGCGTTTTTTCAGATGTATTTCCAAGAAAAAAACATTGTCTTATATTCGGGTCAATACGGTAGTTAAGACAGTTAGTTAAGACATGACCATTGGACAGCAAAATGCTCACTGGTTCAGCGGGGTCAGAAAAAAACAGGTGGAGAAGAAAAGACACGTTCACTGCAAAATAATTAAGAATTAATGTAAAGAATTAGGTGTAAAACATCTGTGGAACCTCTATGTGTGGCTCCTGGATGGGATGCGGCGGATTTGAGTGTTCTGCCACAAGCAGTGGTGGACACCATCACTCAGGCTAGAGCTCCCTCGACGAGGCAATCCTATGCACTGAAGTGGAGTCTGTTCGCAAACTGGTGTTCTCCTCGCCGAGAAGACCCCCGGAGATGCCCGATTGGAGTGGTGCTTTCTTTCCTGCAAGAAAGGTCTGAGTTTTTTTTTTAAATGACATCGATTTGACATCGATTCTCAAAAGCCGCGAATCAATCTTTTCCGGTATTTGTTTCAGCAAACATTTAAAACAAGATCTGATTAATGTGAATCTTATCATTAGTCTTCTCCACTAGATGTCACCCTCTTATTTACCTTGCGCGATGTTACAACAGAAAAAGCCTGTCATTTAGAGCCCTGCACGGGCCTCAAATTTAGGCCCTAGCCCGGCCCTGGCCCGAGACGCTCAGGCCCTAGCCCGGCCCGTGTCCGACAGCTTATCAGAATTACCGGCCCAAGTCTTTTTTTCCCCTATTCCCAAAACAGCTTATACTATTGTTTCAGCTATTAAAATAGTTCAGTTTTGTATGTAATGTCAAAGTGATTATATTTCTCGTTTTTTTATTAAGTTAATTTAGAAAAGCGTTTGGAGCATTTTTCGTTAAATATACGTTTTTGTTTTTTAAAGTAACGACCAAGCGGCAGACAGTGATTTGATCATAGTCTGATCAATTTTGCCTTCTCAAATCATCACAACTTGCCTAAAATAAAATCTATAGATATAAAACAGTTCAGGAATATAACA